ATCAAAACAAAACAAACAGCGGTTGGGTTAGAGTTAGTTTAGGATTTGGCCAGGGCAATAGCTAGAAGACCCCAACCAAAATTTAAGAATTATTTTGTTTTGATAAAAAAGAAAGTTTCATAAATTTTAAGTTCGAAGTGATTTTTTAAAAAAGTCGATTTTTACGTTCACCTGATCCTGCATTTTGATTGGCCAAAGGTTTCGGATTTTTTTTCAAAAATCCGAAAGGGTTTCGGAATTAGGCCTACCCGAAACTGGTTTCGGGTCCCATCCCTGGATCATAGACAATTAATCAATATAAAATGAGTGACGCCAAGAGAAAATGGGGCTTTAATAATATAAATTTTATGTGATTGAACTCACATTTTTCCTTAGCGTCACTCAAATGCTATATGTTAGGATTTCTCAAAGACAAAAAAAGTAAAAACTAAGTAATTTAGTATAATTTGGCAAGGAACTACCTGATGACTTTTTACACGTTTGATATAGGTATGAAGACCAAATCTGACCAGAAAAATTGTACTAGCAAAAGGTCGGCCCGACCGACCCGACAGAGCCTTTTTTTAGAATCGACCTATAATTGGTGGTAGTACTGAATTATGGCAACTTTTCCTCTGGTAGAATTAATTCTACCATAGTGTTTAATTGCCGTAATTCTGTAATGCTACAATTCCGTAATGCCACAATATCATAATTCTATTGTTATAGCACCTTAATACTGTGATAATGCGATATTATAACACTATAATATTATAATGTTATAATTAAGTAGCTGCGCGACACAGTCACTCCAAACCAAGAATGGATTAAAATTTGCATCAATTGGATGAATTAAATAGCAAAGCAAAGGTTACATGCCAATTTCATAAATGCTTATTTACCATTACATACAAATCGTTTTATTCGGTTGGCATAAAAGCTATTTATACAATAGAAGTGTCGCGATTCAGAAATTGCATCTAATACGCTACATTAGAAATACCAGTAAACGTTACACAGGACTCAACCGGGCATAAATTCATCTTTATTGCGTTTATTTTGCTCGGACTGATCCGGTTAATCAAATTCGTGATTTCTAACGCAAAAATGTAGCCTGTGCTTGAATCTTGCAATGTTTCAATCTCACAATTTGACTAATGTTAATAATACCAAAATATATTTTTACAAAATTATTTATATATCAGATATACTACGTATTAATATACCTATTATTATATATTATTTATTATACAATAATAATAATATAAAGTGATTGTAATTATTATTATTATTATTATTATTAATTATTATTATTATTATATTAAAACATGTAAGCTTTTATGTTACCTCAAATATATATATTCGTACAAATATAAAAAATATATTTTTGATTTACGTTTTAGTATTTTAGTTTGAGTACAGAGTGCTTTGGGAAATTAGAAACTAACAATAACTAACTATCTCTATCTCTGTGCGCATTGGGTAGGCCAATTATCACGAGATAATCTGATAAAAAGATTAATGTTTACTAATCGGTGTGAATCATAATAAAAACTTAATATGCATACGTATGTATAGTTTAACTTTTCAAATGTAATCTTAAATCATACAGATTATATGAGTAACGCCAAAGAAACAAAGCTTCTTGAGGTTGAACTTATTATCTTACCGGATTCAGCTTCCAAGAAATTTTTGGAGTCGAATTTAGTAAGGTGATAAATTTAATCTCAGAAGTCTGACTTTATGCATCACTACGTAATGTAGATTTATTCTTTCATAAGAAGTTTTTTTTTATTCATTCAGGTTAAAAATTGCGCATTGTAGATCACTGAAATAATAGGAATTGAATGTTTGAAATCATAAAAATCTAGTTCAGTAGTTATTTATTTTTAATTAAGCGTAAGCCGATAATTATATAAATGCCACGGTGCATCCCATAATATTTGTTACTATATACGCAGATCTACTCTTAAAATTTTCTGGTAATCCTTGTCATTGTAGTCGAATGACCATACCACTTAGCCTCTTGGATTTAATAGCATGTTTCACGAGTATATTCAGGAATTTTTGATCTATACGCATCTCGATTTGTCAACGAAACATACAAAAAGTTCAATGACGATTGTACAACCATGGGCTCTACGTACGTACGTACAGATTTCGTGTACTAACCACGGTTTTAATCTATTTTCTATATCAGATATCGTTAGACACGTTTGGAAATTTTTGCGTTTTAGAGGAATATCCACGTTTTTCGATCATTAAGCATTTATATACGCATAATAATTTGTGCCATGATCAACAAATTTGTGAGGAAATTTGCATTGCATTGTATTGCATTGTGTAATGGTAAATTAATTTAAGGTAAGGTGGTACGATTCTCCTTCATTTCTTTTATTTTCATCGGCTCTTGTTTTCGACCAGAATATCGAGAACACACATTTGTATTTTATATTGTTAAACATTGGTACATGCTTTAGCCACGCAGTTTTCATTCGACTTTCGATTAAAGTCTGCATGTATAGTTTGTTTAACTCAAAAGTTCACTAATTATTCGATTTTGGATTTGTAAAAATATATATATATTTTTTGGTTAGTTATCTTTCACCCTTACCACTCTCGCAAGTCTTCAACCTAGTTATATTTTTCACCATTCGAAATCAGGGTGGTTCAAGCCATTCTTTCAACTAAATGCTTTATTTTTGTTTCATTTTTCTATAAATTATCTAATTAAATCTTTTTTTTTTTTTTATTCATTCAATCGCTCTTTATTTGAATACTTGGATATAACAAATAGGCTTCGTGTGTTTCTCATGATATAACGCAATCAGGATCGTTCATGAACCGATCTATCATAGGTCTAAACCTCATTTTAAACATACTTCTTTCCTTCTTTTTAAAAATTTATCATAAAAAATGACCGAAAACACTGAAAGTACGAGTTGGGTTCCTTTGCCAAAATTTGGATTTGGTTTTGCAATCTATCCCTTTACTCCTGGTTCACGAAATAATTCTTCGGATTCAACAAAAGATGAACCAGTATCTGATGGTGTTACTGTTTCTGATGCTACATCAATTTCTTCCTCTAATTCAATTTTAAATTCAAATTCTTCGATTACCTCATATCAAGTTGCACTTGAAATAGGTGATGAGGTCTATGTTTTTGAGCAGCAAGGAGCATGGTATCGTGGCTATGTTGTTTCTCAATTACGTCAAACTGAGGAACCGCAAGTTTATGTTGGAATTTTTCCTGTTAATCATGTTTATATTAAAGAACATCTTGATTATATTGAAGTACAGGCGGCTGAACTAAAAAGTAATGACGCCGCTTCATTGGAGAGTGAAAAAAATACTCGTCCTCCTCCACCTTTACCATCTCTTGAATGTGGTGATGATACGGTCAGTGGGAAAACTGAACCATTAGTTGATGAAATAGCTAGTACCGTGAGAGAATGGAGTAGTTTGTTACCTAAATATTTGAGTGAACGAAAATATTCAATGTTCAGAAATGTTAAAGATCAAATAAATGATTTATTACAAGGACGTAGGCAATTACTTGCTCAAACTCTATCTCAAGATGAATTAAGTAAATTGAGAAAAGAACTAATTAATAAGCTTGTTGTTGGTAACTTGATTCAAGAGTTAGATATTATTGTAAGAGATCCGGAAAGAGGTTTCCTTGCTGATGAGACAAATATATCTGCTATTCGTCTTTATCAATTACAAGCTCAATTATCACTTTTAAATATGGATAAGGCTAAATCTGATTCATTACTAATGAGTCCTACCATAACGAGTCCTTTACAATCTTTACATAATCCCACGCCAACTGACTCAACTAGTCATACACCAAAGTTTTATCACGTTTTTTTGGATTTAAAAGCTTGGGTTGCATCAATATGTTCTCCTGGTGAATTCACCGAACTTTATTTTTCTTTATATACAAAAGTTGATTCACGATTTATAACAGAAGAATATCTTATTGTGCTTAATCATAATGGTGTACCAAAAGACGAATCCAAGATTGGAAAAATTAGGACCCTTTTTACTGATCTTTCTCCTCATGATATTCAAGATCAAGTTTATTTACTTTGCAGAATCGTAAGAACTGGAAGTATGAAAATGATTGATAAAGATGTGTCCAAAGAATCCGGTGCAGTGACATCATTATTTTCAAAGACTTCAAAAGATTCGGATAATACGGATCAAATTTCACTACATTCTAATGCGAAATTCTCACCGCAGACATTTCGTCGACCTTTTGGCTGTGCAGTTCTCGATATTAGTCATCTTCTTCAAGGGAAAGAAAAAGAAACTTTTAGTGAACATGTAATGCAAATATATGTTCCTATCCAAGAATCGACATTTGCTAGTCTTCATGAAGATATAATTCATCATCGTTACAAAGAATTTGAAAAATCCCCAAGAGCTGAAATGATTAGTGTTTCTATTCGTCCTTATTACGGAGAGACCGCTACCATCATAAAAGAAAATACTGCATTACTTCAAGATATTCCTATCACATCACGTCTTGGTTTTGCCGATGTTGTGTTCCCTGGGGATATGCGGAACGAAATTTACCTTAGGTTTGTGTCAGGTGATTTTACCCAAGGACGAGCTGCTACTTCAAGAAATATACAAATCACTGCGGAAGTTAAATTAGACACAGGTGAAACGTTAGAAAATGCAATCTCTCAAGGTTCTGGTGAACCTAAAGTAACATATTTTGATTCTCTTGTTTTCTACCATTCCAATAATCCTATGTGGGGTGAATTGATTAAAGTGACTATTCCTGTAGAGCAATTTGAACGTGCGCATATATTTATGACTTTTCGTCATCGTTCTACAAAAGATAAAAAGGAAGATAAGATTTTTGCTTTTGCTTATGTACCTTTGTTTCAAGAAAACAAAGCATTCATAAGTGATGGAAAACATAATGTTGTTTTATATAAGTATGATAGGCAACTGATAACCCCATTAATATATTTAAATGCACCATGGTCACCTTCTGCTACTGCTTCAGATAGCGCTTCAGTGCATTCGATCTCAAATTCCCATTCAACGCATAAATTGTCAACTTCTTCCAAAGATGTTGTTACGATTAAGACATTTTTATGTTCGACAAAGTACACACAAAATGAAGTTCTTCTCAAATTATTGAATTGGGAAAAGCAATTAGTATCAGATAGGAGTGAAATGATGTCGGTCTTGAAAAAATTCACTTTTGTTGGAGAAGTTGAAATAGTGAAGTTTCTTCAGGATATTTTCGACGCACTATTTGGAATTTTAATTTCATCAATAAATCAGCAAGGCGAACTTGATGACTTGATATTTAATGCTTTAGTAACTATCCTTGGAATTGTATCTGATAGAAGGTTTATGAACTTCAGGCCTGTGCTTGATGTATATATTGAGAAACATTTCTCTTGTGCAGCTGCTTCATCGAGTTTAATTCGTTCAATGAATCGACTTGTTTCTGATCCTACAACTCCAGAGAATGCTCAAAATTTACGATCAGCCATAAAAGTGTGGCAATATATTTTTAAAATAATAATACGGTCTAGAGAATTACAACGAACAAAGGAGGTAAATATGGGATTATCAGGCGACTATGTTGAAAAACAGTTTAAAGAAGGATTATATGACCTTTTTAAAAGCATAGATAAACTTATGTCCATCACAACTCCACAGTCAATAATTGGCACACAAACATTAGCTTTACAACATTTTGCTTCTATATTTACGGATATTGGAAAATGTTTCGATCCCGAAGATCTCGCACAAATAGCTATTCGTTTCACTGAGTCTGTGAGATTGCCAAAAGGAAAACTCTTGGCATATAAACTATTGGTTATTCTTCAATTTTGTCGTGGTCCTTTGTTCGAAAATGCAAAATCTCGTGCGATACTTTTGCGTAGAGTCGTAGAATGGGTTACAGATCATATGGGTAAATGGGAAAAAACGGGAAAAACAAATGAAGATAGTGAAGCTGCGCGAATGCAATGGCAAGATGGAATTCGATTATGTGTTGCCATTGTTGCGGTTATGTTAGAAAGCTTACAATGCTCTATTGAGAGAAGCAAAGAAAACGAAAGCATACAGAAAGAAATTGAAAACGTGCGTGTGATTCTCCCTTTAATGATGAAACTTTGTGAATCATATAGAGAGTTGTATTTCACTAGTAATGAATCTCGCCCATCAAGAGAGAGATCTGGAAGTGGAATAATAGTCTCACCAGCCATATTTAACTTAGCATATCCATTTTCTAGTGTAAATCCGACTTCTGCAAGTGGTTCAAACAAATATTCAAAAGATGGTTTATTTAGTCCATTACATAATCCACAAAACACAATTTATACTGGGTTAGGAGAAATAGCCGCAGTGATACTGCAGATTATGTATCTATTATCACAAGATCACTTGAAAGAGCACCTGCTCTCAACATATTATAGGGAAGGTCATGATGCCACTGCAGAATTTTTAGTCTTATTATTCCAAGTTTGTAGATCAGTTTTATTAAACGAAGCTTTCCCGGAATCTTGGTTGAATATGAATATAATGGCTCATAAAGTATTTTTAAAATTTCTCGAACCAATATCTTCTCTGTTGGAGAAGAATTATATTCCAGACAAAGACGCACCTGATACATTCAATGAACAACTGTGGAGAGAATATTTCAATTGCTTATTAAGTTTACTTACCAGTAAACACTTAGTAATTGAAAATTTTACCCCACAGAAACGTCGTGCAATATGGAGACTAGCTAGAGACCTTCGTGGACAAGGAGCCAAATTATTATCAACTCTATGGGATGCCATAGGATGGGAACATGGAACAGAGGGTAAAATGGGTGGCTATCAAAGTCGATTCATTAATACTTTAATTGGTCCGGTTTTGGAATTATGTTTATCTCATCATGATGAGTTACGTTCTGCTGCAATCAAAGTGTTATTCAGTATGATTGTTACACAATATTCGTTAGACGAAGATTTCAAACAAATGGAATCGGATATAATTGACATTCTAGATAAATTATTCATGTCAGAAAATAAAGGCGATGAGATCTCTCATACATATTTTATTGCACAATTACGAAAATTATTTGAAGAGGCATCAGTTGATACTTCATTACGAGAAACTGTCATGAAATTTTTAGACTCTCTTAGTGAATTTTTGGAATTATTACTCGGTGTCCGTGAATTACCTGATGGTGAAGAATTCCAAGATGATCGAATAATGTGTACACTCAAATTGATGAAATTTATAAAGTCCATTGACCGAGATCAAATTTATATCAAGTATGTGCATCAACTTATTCAGATGCAAGTTAATTATCACAACTTTGTAGAGGCTGCCTTAACTCTCAAGTTACATTCAAATTTATATGATTGGGATCCCACTCATGAGATAGAAGCATTGCCTGATCTGAACTTTCCAAAGCAAACGCCATTTGATCGAAAGGAGCGACTATATATTCAAATTTTGGATTATTTCGTTAAAGGTAAAGCATGGGAATGTGGGATTGAACTATGTAAGGAATTGGCTCATCAATTTGAATATACTACGTATGACTTTCAACGTTTAAGTAATATTCTTAAACAACAAGCTGTATTGCACGAGAATATTATAAAGAAAGAGCGGTATTTTAGCGAATATTTCCGTGTCGGGTTTTATGGTAGAGGATTCCCTGCGAGTCTAAAAAATCGGCAGTTCATTTATCGAGGATATGAATGGGAAAAAATTGGAGCATTTTGTGAAAGAATGCTAAATAAGCATCCTCAAGCTCAACTATTGAAATCTAATAGTACACCAACTGATGAAATTCTTCATGGAGATGGACAGTTTTTACAAGTGACTGCAGTGGTGCCGGAGCCTGATAGAACTGCACCCGTTTTCAAAGAAAATGTACCATCAGCTATTCGTTCATATTACGAACACAATTCAATAAATACTTTTAGTTTTTCACGACCTGTTAACAAAAATCCAGATGGTGTGAAATCAGCAAATGAATTCTTAGACTTGTGGACCGAAAAAACTATATTGGTCTCTGAGGATCATTTTCCCACAGTACTTCGACGTTCAGAAGTCGTTCAAGTCACCGTAATTGAAGTGTCACCGATCGAAAATGCTGTTGCTGCCATGAAAGCTAAAAATCGGGAATTGATAACTCTTGAAGCAAAATATAATGCATATCTCACTTCAGCAAAAGCTGTAGATAAAATCAATACTAATCCTTTATCAATGTCTTTAAATGGTGCTGTGGATGCACCTGTTAATGGTGGTGTGCCAATGTACAAAAAGGCATTTTTCGGTTCAGAATTTTTAGAATCAAATCTGGATAAGGAACCATTTGTAAATAGCTTAAAGGAAGCAATTGAAGAACAGGTTTGATTATATATTTACATTTGATTCATATAATATTAGAAATTTCGGAAATACTTGATTTCTAACCTTTGTTTATAAATTAGGTCTTTATTATTGACAGATGTTTAGATATTCATGAACGTCTTATTTCCATGGATATGCGCCCTTTTCACGATACTCTAGTCAAATGTAAATTATCTAATATTATTATTATCAAAAAAAAAAAAAAACGCTTTTTACCATTTGTAACATTGTTGTTTCTTTATTATAGTCTTTCATAGGAATTTCGCAGAGGAGATATATAGATTATCCGAACGTAAAAAAGCGAAGGCTCAATCAGCGTCCAAGATGACTATACAACCTAATATAAATACACCTGTTGCAATAACTCCAACAACGCCATTTCCCCTTCCTCCATTAAATACTAATAGATTAAGTAAAGCATTTCGTGTCCCTTCACTTTATGGAACAGCATCACTTAATACCGAACAATTATCACCAGTTTCACCGACATCACCTGCAAATTCATCAATAATGAACCGAGTAGTAACGACAAGTTTTAATTCTTCAAGGGGCTCAATAAGTACACAAGGCACTTTAACTAGCCCTACTTCATATACTAAACGAATACTAGTAGAAGGGGGCAATGGAATTAACGCTATTCCAATAAGTCCTGATGGAGATACTATTACAGAAATTCCAATTATTAAAAAAAGTAATACTTTAAAAGAACGCAACTCTTCAAGAGAAAGAAGAGAAAGGAAATTAACTTTAAGAGGATGGTCATTGAATCGTAATCGAAGTACGACACAATAAAAATAATTTTTATATTTACATAAACTTTAAAAGATTATATTTTTAGTAGTAAATTTATTTCAAATTATTCATTCCTTTAAAAAATTTTATTATAGCTATAGAGGATGTATTAAAAATTCTATTGTAACTATTATTTTTTTGTTTGTTTGTAATGAGGTTTTATTACCTTAATATATAATAATTAACTATATAAATTTGACCAATTCTATTTTGACCCGGGTCAAAATAGAATTGGCCTACAAATTTTGATAAAAGAATTACTATAACTTTAACAGAAAATAGAATATATTCATCTTTTATACGTGTTATTCGATAATTTTCAGGTAGAATACTTATTAAAATGACTTCTCAAGTTGTTCAGATTCGCTCACTGTAATATGAATCAGGGGTGATTACAGTCGATTTAACATTAGCCGATAAGATCGACTTAGTCGACTTGCCAGTCATCAATTTTTTTAGTCGATTCTTTTAACCGCATTAAAATTTTTTTATAGTACCGGGCCGAATTATGTTTTTCAGTACAATTTTAATGCCGGCTGAATTAAACGGTTAATATGGTTAAACGATTAAACGTTAAGAAAATTTTAGGCAGTTCCAATCCTTATGTATCATATTGTAGATAGAAACGATTGGTGATTCACAATATCGATATGAGAGCTAGACAATCAAACAAATTTATAATTGTGGGCGGCGGAGAATTCAATAACCCTAGTCTAAAAATTTCTCAAGTCATGATCACGGGGTTTTCCGAACGAATACTTGTTCCAAGCAAACATAACATTAAGTCAAAAATTATCGTTTCAAAAAATGTACTAAGTTATCCTTTGCTTCGCAAAGGATAGTTTATGCTTACGTTATAGCTGTTTTTTTTCTTTTTTTACTAACACCCAGGCAAAAGAACCCTTAAATTACTTTCTTACCGGTACTTAAAAAATAACTTTACTAATCTTTAATTTAAACTAAATTTTTCTTGTAAATGCGCGAATACAAAAACAAATTTTTAATTAACTATTTGTGTTAGATACATATTACAAAACATACCGTATAGTCGCGAAATAACGCGCAGGGGCGTTATTTCGAATTTCGGCCCGAATTAAGCTTAATTTAGGCCGAAATTCGAAATTACACCCTTGCGCGTTATTATTTCGAAAATCGAGCCTCCTAAAAAACAACGCTCATGCGCGTCAAAAAAGTTGTTCTGAAGAACAACTTTTGTTAAAGGTTTACTTAGTACAGTACTAAATCTAGTTACGAAGTATTTTTGTTTGTTTACTTTTCATACAAGAATTACTTGAAATTTTTTAATTGTCTCAAAATAACGCTCATGCGCGTACTCGAAATAACGCGCAGGTGAGTCCCGTGTTGGGGCTTATAACATAAATGCAAGTTCTTTATTCTCTAAGTGCAAGATTTTTTTTAGCCAGCATACAGTATATAAAATTATTTTCTCTAATTGCAAGATATTTTATTAACCAATTAAATTGACTTATTTAATTAAAGTTTTTTTT